CTCAGTTGGTTGAGCACATGACTTTGGCCCAGGTCATGATCTCCTAGTTCATGGGTTCAAGCCCTGGGTCAGGTTCAATGCATAGAGCCTGCTTCAGATCCTGTCTCTCTCTCTGTCTCTCTTTGTCTCTCTCTATCTCTCGGCTCCTCCCCTGCTCGCACTCTCTCTCTCTCAAAAATGAATAAAAGCGTTTAAAAATTAATAAAAAAGGTACAAAGATCTTGACCTTAAGAAGAGACACCTTGTGAGAAATGGTGTCAGGACGCAAACTCAACACACTTTCCAGCCCTCCTTACTGTGTCCTGATGCTGGACTGTAATGTTTTTTAAAACTTAAAAAAAAAAATGTTTATGTATTTTTGAGAGAGAGACAGCATAAGAGTGAGCAGGGAAGGGGCAAAGAGAAGGGGAGGACAGAGGATCCAAAACAGACTCTGCACTGACAGCAGTGAGCCTGATGCAGGGTTTGAACTCACAAAACCCTGAGATCATGGCCTGAGCCGAACTGGGATGCTCAACAGGCTGAGCCACCCAGGAGCCTCTGGACTGTAATGTTTTGAATGTGCTCAGAATCGCTATTTGAGAAGGGCACCATGTCCAATGCAAGGACGGAGCCTCTGCAGTCTTAACTTCAAATTCCTACAACCACTTACAGGTTGCGTGTGGTTTCCTGGATTTTGTAACGGGCTAATCGTTCCCGCCTTGCTGAATTGTTACAGCAATTAGAGAAGAAGCAGGCAGACGCCCTCTCAGTGGCCAGAGGACAGTAAGGTCGGCAGCACTCACGGCCACGAGTGTCCTTCAACAACGGGAGCACCAAAGTCTACAACTTCCCCCTGGAAAAACAACTGAAAGCTACCAAGGCAGAAAAGATGCCAGCCTCTATGGGGTTCCCAGGGTGGTCAAGGATTAATACCAAAATACCGTTTCCTGGATCACGATCATGTGGGCATCTTATGATAATCTGCTATCGGATTCTTTATGACTGAAAGAAAAGTTCACACCCTTCATGTACATGCACAGAACAGTATTAACGGGAGCCCTTATTACCTGGATGGGTGGTATCTCTTATCCTATTTTCAATCTGTTTTTCTCATTTGCCTTTCCTGGACCTATTTACACCACACATGCCAGGGCTGTTCTGGACTCTCGGAGGAAGCGCCCGAGACAGCTGGAAAACCTGGGCCGTTACTACTGATAAGGCCTGGCTGATGCCGACCACATGCGATGTTCAAAAACCAGAGACATTATGTGATAAAAATAAGGAAGCTGGAGCTTCCCAGAAAAAGAAAATAAAACACTTCCTTTTTTCTCTGCAGCCCAGGTGGCAGACACCGGCTCTTGCTATCACAAGGCAAAATAAACCCAAGGCAAAAGCTTCTCTTTTCTATGAACATGACAGATTTGACGGGTAGTCTTTCTCTTTTAGATTATTTACAGTAGGCTACTAGGTTTTAGCTTCCCTACATCCTGTCCCCAACCTGCAAAAAACTCAGCTGACATCAAACCGTTCATGCAAAGATCTCTAACAAAGGGGCTTGCGAACCTCTTTCTGAGTGTCGTCCTTGGATGCTACCTATCAGATCCTCCACCCGCTCACCTCTCCCTCAAGCCCCAGCTCAGTCTCATTTCCTCCTTTCTCGAATTCACAGGCGAAGATTTACCAACTGTATGTATTCGCCATCAAACACTTCTTGAGCACCAGCCATGCCCCAGGCACAGGCTCCATGGTATAAGGACATATATGCTCTATGCTCAGAAACTCCTAGCTTAAGAACAGACAGGCAAGTCATTTGGTAATCACAGTACAATGTGATCAGCGCTGTGATATGCAGGGATGTTGGGATAGAAGGTGGAAAGGCAGAGGAAGAAGGGGTCTTATGAGAATGCGGAGGAAGGAGATCTAGCTCCCTCTTGTTGAGGTAGGGGGCTGGTCAACGTAGGCGCCTGGAATGGGTACTATATAAGCTGTTTGTTGAACGGAATGAAGGCGCGTTCCCGACAGAGCACATCCCCCAAGATGGGACCATTGCGTGGGGCCCAGGATAACAGCAGCAAGCAGTCAGAGCCGCTTACCCTTCAGCACAAATACCTTCCACTGGGTAAAGGAAGTTGATTCACAAACCCCAGCCTCTCCCTTCAAGGGCATCCCTGGGAGGAAGTGTGGTTTGGAAAGCCCAAGAGTTCCAAGGACATAGGAGCCTTTGGGGCATGAGTTCAGTTTCGATTCCCTAAAGTCTAGCTGTTAATTAATGGAATATTTGTGACCATATAATAAACAGAAAAGGCTTTGAATACAAAGGTATCCCAGTATCTGGGGTCAGTGGTTACTTCAGAGCTCAAGGTGGAATCAGATCTTATAGATCAATCCCCAACCGACCTCTCCAAGCCACTGATGCATGCATCTGGAGCCCACGTAGCCAAACCATCCTTTGCACCTCAGCTAGGGGACATGCTAGCCAAGAGTCACCCTCTGGGTCATGGCTGTTTGCACACATAGTGCTAGGCAGCTGCTAAGGACACCGAGTTGCATTAGTTTTAGAGGAAGAGCAGCTAGTTAGCACGTTCTGGGTAATCAGGATAAGTACCAAAATCTGCCCGAAGTTCATAGCCTGAAACTACAGACAGGACTGTTCTCCCTGCAAAGCTAGTGACCCAAAGAAGGAGTGAATGGAATATTCTGGCCACTCCTTGTCCATCCTAACCATCTTACCGGAGCAGAGCTGTAATTCACTCACAGAAAATAGAAATATTACTCTGAGGCTGCAGGTGCACAATGCCAGATAATCAAGTGAAACTGAACATTTCAACTCCAAACCCCAATTTTTTCTCACCACCGGATACTCAGTATCTCTGAGAAGTGTATGGACTTTGTAATTTGACTACAGGTAAATTCATTACCATTGCTATGAACCGTGCTGCTCCCTCATCTGGCTGATAGAAAATAACATGCATACATACTAGAAGCTTTGAAAGTCCTGAAGCTAGCATGCTCCTTCCAAATGATGATCTTAGCCAGAGGGCCCCTTCCGTTGCTATAAAGCCCCATAATCAGAAATGCCGTTGCTTGCAGATTTAGTAATAGGCCTCCCCTGGACAGTAAGTTCCCCCGAATGCTCTGTGGTCCCAGCCAGTCATTTACAAAAGCCTTAGATGGGTATGGTCACTAGATGTGGCTGGGCTGTTGGTTGCAATAGGTTGAAATGCACTGAGCATAGTTCTGCTCAACATGATAGGACCCAGGGAAATAAAAGCCAAGTCCTAGAGCCCCTCCTCAATGAGCACCAAAAACAGCATCCCTGCTGTTCCCTCAGCTATTCCCTGGCTGCAGGAGCTGTCCCGGTGAAGCCACTGACGGGTAGCAGAGATACCCGGAGTATCTGATAAGAGGCATCACAAAGTAAACTGAGTTGGTCTCGGGCAGTCTGGACATAGATGGAGCCATTGGGCAGCTGGGAGCTACCAATTGCTCTCGATGAGATCCAGAGCTTTGAGGCTGGCGTCTCTGAGAACACTCTAGGTAGAAGAAATTGATGAGTGGAATGGAGCTGTTTCTGTTTCAAGATTCACAAATCCCTGCTGGTGCCCCGAGTCTGGTTCTGCTCTTGCAGGAAGAGCTCACGCTGACTGTCATCTATTGATTTTGGACAAGTCAGTGTCGGGGTCCCAGGATGAGTCCTCCTGGCCGTGGGCAAGAATTGCAAGGAAGTCACCTTTGAGGAGACTCCACTTAAGAGTTGTATTTGCAGGGGCGCCTGGGTGGCTTAGTTGGTTAAGCATCCGACTTTAGCTTAGGTCATGATCTCGCGGTTCGTGGGTTCGAGCCCCGCGTCGGGCTCTGTGCTGACTGCCAGCTCAGAGCCTGGAGCCTGTTTCAGTCTGTGTCTCCCTCTCTCTCTGACCCTCCCCTGCTCACGCTGTCTCTCTCTCTCTCTCTCCTAGAAATAAATAAAAAACATTAAAAAAAATTAAAAAAAAAAAAAAGAGTTGTATTTGCAGAAGTTCTTCATGGAATTGTAACCGCACACACACAACCACGCACACGCAATTTTTTTGTCATCAGTCCACTGCAGGAGACCACCATTATTCTAGCATGGTCACCCGCTCAGTCCTCGGTACCACAGTTGTCTGCATTTCATTTAAGTTTATCACTAGTTACCTGGGAGCTGGGCACATTTTCCTGCTTTCCTGGCTCCCTCCTGTCCTCGCTCCCAGTGTGGTTAAGAAAATAGAGATAATAACAGTGAAAATCTAGAAAGCCCTGATGTGCTTCCTGCAGAGTGCTCTTGGAAGGAAAGCCATTGATGTTATTTCTCTCCTGTAATTGAGAAGTCCTTAAAGAGGACCTCACACTTGCACACCGGGCAAAACGCCAGCGGACAAACTGACCGGTGGAGATGGGGAGGGGGTCATGGGGGGAGATCAGACCCTTCTCTGACACGTCCTTCTCTTTCCCAGCACTTCCCACCTAATTAGTCATGCTCAGAGGCAAGTCGACCATCCCACATCTCCAGCCCCGGTCCCTTAAAGGTCTTAACGGGCTCCGTTGGGAGCAGGGGCGGAGGGAGTAGGGAGGGCAGCCGGACTCAGCCCAGGACCCTCCAGGCTCAGATGGCCCCAAGTCCCGGAGGCAGCTGAGTTCACATTTCTTGCCCATTAGTCATGAGGTGCTCCCATTGTCTATTCAGAACATTTCTCTATCATTCTTTTCACTTTCCCCTTTACTCTGCAAGCAGAGATTTCTCCTCCAATAAATAATCTTTCCTATTCCCTCTTCCCCTGACCACCTCGCCCCTCCAAAACAGCTTCAGCCGATCCCAATGAAATGCAGATACAGAACGAAGGCTCTGTTTGGGCACCGATTCTGGCTAATCCTCTTCTTGCCTGCATTACAAAGTCAGTCCCTCATTAAGGCATCCCTCTATTGGCTCGGTTTGCCAGAAAGACTTTTAAGAGAGAGAAGAGGAGATGGGCGGGCTGAGAGGCACAGAATTCACCTACCGCCACTGTTTGCCTTCCTTTCGTCCCTCGGAGAGGCTTTCTCTTCAGCCCTGGGCTCTTGCAGGACCTCAGCTCCAATCTCCCTGCACAGCTCCGGCCTCCTTTAAATTTCAAGGCAGGGGGTGGGGTTGGTGGCCCTGGGTGGGCGGGTTTCTCTGCAGCAGCAAGATGCCCAGTGGACAGGGCCATGAGGGAGCCAAACGGGGCGGGCCTGTTTTTATAAGGAGGGGGAGGAAGTTTGTGATGGAAGCAGCACAGCCCAGCCTGGCTTCGGGCCAGGCTGATTATTCACAATCCTGATGTCATCGAATCACAGGAATTTGGGAGTTGGACGGAACCTTAACGATCATCTTCCTTTCAAGTCGAGTCGATGACCTAAAAGAGACCGTCGGGATCAGCAGGCTGTAAACCTATCATGGAAAGAGGAGTTTATTATTCTAAGAAACCTACACTGACGAGGCTGAGGGGTTCTTCTGGAATCTCCAGCATTGACTCTGCCCCTCTGGACACAAGAGATTGGAAGGACTGGGCAGGTGGACCAGTTCTCTCCAGGCACAGAAGTGCCAAGATTGGAGCACTTGGGGAAAGGGGACCAGTAAACAAAGGCGGGCAGCGCTCCTCTGCAGTGGAAAGTAACCCAGCCTGGAATCTGCATCCAGTACCTGCCCTGGCTCTCATTTCACTTGGCTGAGGTCTCTTCAAGCTCCAGCATTCCCCGAGTGGGCTGTGGAATAAAGGCAGGGGGCCCTGAGTCAATGCTCTGTCTAAACGCTTTTTCTACACAGCCTTGCCTTGAAATTCTATCACTAGCCATCCATCCCTTAAACGGAGGGAAGCTTTCCCACGTTCTGGAGTTTGCTCTTAAATGTAAATGCTCCTGGAAATAGATAGCCTGTTTGACTTGTTAATACCTGCAGATGACTGATAAAGAAAAGCAGCAGGTGTAAGGGAAAGGCTTAGGCTTGAATCAGCTGTACCCGTAATGAGGGATGTGACCTCAGTCAGGGTTTGCAATTATGCTGAGCTCTCGCATCAGAGGTCACATGCGCAGATTAGAGAGCGACAATGTACATAAGATCCCTGGCACGTCGTAGGGCTCGATGCGTGGTATCTGTATTACTGGCTGGTATCTGGCTGAGACAAGGCAGTGTGAAAGAGAGAGAAGGAAGAGGGATGCCAGGAGAAGGACCAGGAGGCGCAGGTTGGCAGAGAAAATGGAAAGATAACCAGCTCTTTTGGGAGAAGCCAGATTTCATATATTCTGATCCTGAATGTGCTCACGTTTGTCAAGCGATCGAGAGCTGATCTTGAGGTTGGAAAATAGGGCAGTCGGGCCCAAAGTCAAGCTGTTTCTCCATATTTTTATCAAGCTGTAGTTCTGCCAATGGCCATTACAGAAAAGGGGTAACATGGGGGCCAGGTTAGCTGCAAAGGAATGGGGCCGGGACGTCAGAAGCTGCAGCAAAGGGTGGCCTGTCCCATGGAGATGTATCTACTTCCCTGTAAGGTGGGAAACCATGATCAGGGTCAGAGGTTTTTTCTGGCAGTTTGGTTCAGCAGGGATGGAGGGGTAGTATACAGAATTTTTTTTTAAAATGTTTTATTTATTTCTAGGAGAGAGAGAGAAAGCATGAGCAGGGGAGGGTCAGAGAGAGAGGGAGTGACAGACTCTGAAACAGTTTCCAGGCTCTGAGCTGGCAGTCAGCACAGAGCCCGACGCGGGGCTCGAACCCTCGAACCGCGAGATCATGACCTGAGCGAAAGTCGGACGCTTAACCGACTAAGCCACCCGGGCGCCCCGGGGTAGTATACAGAATCTTTGATCTGAATTCCTGTAGAGGATGATTTGCTCCCAAATGATTACATTTAAATCCTTGGATCACATACAGTCTGCGGTCTGGGTATTGGGTCCCAAAGTCTGAGCAGTGGGGCGGGATATATGTGCCAGGATCTATACACCAGGGTGTGGTCCGGCAGTGGGAGGGAGAGTCCTTTCCCACCACGCATTGGGACACCTACCAGTCTACCTTTAGAAATGCATTTCCCTTACTTGATAGCCCCCAGGTAAAATGCAAATTACATTTAAGTACGATCTTCAAAGTAGTCTCCGGTGGGAGGAGCTGTCTCTTGGCCCCTGGGGTGCTGCAGGTCTGGGGGCTTGAGGGAGGGGGGCATAGACCAAGAGCAGGAAATTAAGAGGAAAGGGTTTCTGGTGCCCCTGAGCTTTGCTGAAATACAACTAAATGACTCAGACCAGATAATACCTTGCTAGGAAACTAGGAACTGGGGTGGCCTTTGTGTTCCTATTAAATATGAGATTGTTTCCTTTTCACAGACTCTAGGGAAGCCTGAGAAGGAGGAGGTACGTGTAGGGAAGCTGATACGGTGACAAGGAGGTCCTTGATTTTAGTGAAGGAATTGCGGCAGACTGTGGGGGGCGGAGGCGGGGGGGGGGTGGGGGGAGAAAAGAAAACTCGGTGAAATCACATTCTGGGAAAATTGTATCAAAACCCTTCGCTTTCAAGGAAGAGAAATAAAACCAAGGCCAGATAACGCGGAGAAAAAGTGGGCGCAGAGAAGCTGGAAGGAAGTATACAGCGCTTTCCCAGCCTGGCGCTGTTTCTGCAGTGACACCCCCACCCCCCGCAGAATGCCTGAGTCACCAGCGGGGTCCCCTTATCACTAGTGTGGGTGCAGGGACGGCCCAGGAGAAGAAGGACCCCACCGAGACCCCAATCGGCTGACTAAGAAGTGACGTGACGTCTGTGGAAATTCCAAGATGAGAGCCGAAGGACCAGATGGTTTAGGGCCAGAAGACAGAGATGCTGTGTACAGTCGAAGGAGGTTTAATTGTTAGCCATCGGGCTTGGTAGGGAGTGGGCTAAATATCACAACCGATGTTATGTGGCACGCATTGTCGGGGCTTCATGTCAACTAGAGACCCTCATATCGCTCAGCTGTATCAGGGGCCTGAATTCTACCAGGACACCTCAAAACATCAAATGGTCAGGCTGAATGCCTGGGAAGTGCCCTTAAATGTGGCTGCTTTTGTTAAGAATCATTCACCGGGCGGTATAGGAGTGCTTTGTACTATGTTGGCAACTCTTCTTTAAGTTTGAAATTGCTTCAAAATAAAAAGGTTAAAACTGGGTTGTTCTACTGGAGAAATAATTTTACTTCTGAATAGGGATGCCAATCCCCCATGCTGTTGAAAATCCATGTATACTTTTTGGCTCCCCACCCCCGAACTTAACTACTAATAGCCTGCTATTAACTGAAAGCCTTATGGATAACATAGACAGTGGATGAACGTGAGTTTTGTGTGTTATATGCATTATATACTGTATTAGTACAGTAAAGTAAGCTAAAGAAAAGAAATGTTATTAAGAAAATCACAAGGGAGAGAAAAAACATTTACAGTACTCTATTTAAAAAAAATCCACATATAAGTAGACCCATGCAGTTCAGAAATGTGCTGTTCAGGGGTGCCTGGGTGGCTCAGTCAGTTAAGCATCCAACTTTAGCTCAGGTCATGATCTCATGGTTCATGGGTTTGAGCCCCGCGTCGGGCTCTGTGCTTAGAGCCTAGAGCCCGTTTCAGATTGTCTCCGTCTCTCTCTGCCTGCGTCCACCCCCCACTCACACTCTATCTCCATCTCTCTCTCTCTCTCAAAAAATGAATAATCATTTTAAAATAATTTTTAAATGTGTTATTCAAGGGTCAGCTGTATTTAGCGCAATGAAAAAAAAATTTTAAATTCCCACACAAGAAAACATAGGTATAAAACATTATTTTGGCTATCTAAAACCTGAAAATAACATATGTCCAAAAATAGGGCAATAGTATTATAAAGCATGATAGTATAATGCAATATTACATAGCCATTATAATGATTGATAATATTATTTTATAGAATTTCAAAACTGGTCATAAACTACCTTACCCGAAAGACATAGAAAACAAAAACGTATATGTGTAAGTACCCACGTATATGTATGGATAAAGATTGGCAGAGAAAATCAAATGCGGGAGCACTGTACTTTCAGGTGAATTTTTTTCAATTGCTTTTGCAATACTTTTAAAATGTTTTCACAAAAAGAAACTTAACTGACTCCACAGCAGATCCGGGCTAGTGTGAGTGTGTCTAGCAATTTCTCTCTGACATAGGCACCGGAAGGGCAGACTTGATTACAACAATGTGTTGGAAGGTTAGGAATTTTCCTTACCCTGTTATAAAATTATCCGTGCGTTTATTCAAACTCTTCTTGAATACATCTCACCTTCAATCAATTCCTTCTTGGAGGGAATCGAGTTTCTCCCTTCTGATTCTCTAAAACAACTTCCTGTCTTTGGTTCTAAGCTACCCCTTTGACCTCTGAGGCGTGACCTACGATTCAATCTTCTAGAATGGGTAAACACAACCTTGTCCACCTGTGCACCCCGGTGAGCCTAGAGGCTGCTGGAGAGAGCCGGAGGCTCTAAATCAGGAAGTTTGTCTTTTTTCCCCCGAAATTAGTTGGATGACTCCAGGCCAGTTTGCCTTGTGCTTTTAGCTTTCTTGCGCTTCAGATGAGAGCAATAAACCCACAGAATTATTATTTGGCTCAAATAGGATAACACAGGAAAGAAAACACTTGCAGGCAGATGACATACTGCTGGCAATTTAATAAGCCGTCTTGTAAACGTATTTTGCAGCTCTGTGCCTTTCCCACATCTATCCTCAAATGGAAAGCCCTTTGTAGAGGAAAACTCACTCTGTCTGGAGAGCCCGAAAGGGACCTTAAAGAGCACCCACCTCAAATTTTCTCAAACTGTCTTCCAAGCAATATTAGGGTCACACTTGTAAAAAAAAAAAAAAAAAAAAAAAACCAATGCTAATTATTTTTTTTTTCTTTTAAAAACAATTTTACCACGGGGCACCTGGGTGGCTCAGTCAGTGAAGCATCTGACTTCAGCTCAGGTCATGATCTTGCGATTCAAGGTTCGAGCCCCACATCGGGCTCTGTGCTGACAGCTCAGAGCCTGGGGCCTGCTTCGGATTCCGTGTCTCCGTCTCTTTCTCTGC